ATTGATTACCTGGGTAAACGCTCACCACTGAGCCACACCAGCCAGGCAACAGCCTACTTTTTAATAGCAACATTACCATAATTAAATTCCAAAATATGAAACCATTATACTTTGTCAAAACCATTCCCTTATTGGTAGGTATTTTACATGTAGTTGCTTTTACATTCCCCCCTGTATAAATAGTACTTTAATAAATGTCCTTGCACATTGCTTTTATTTTTATAGCATGGATTTCCCAAATCAGAATTATTGGGTCTAATTTTAGAGTCTAATAGATAGTCTACATTTTAGGGCCTATTAGATATTGTAAACTTACTTTAAAAAGATGGCCGAAAGTCACTAAGCAGCAGTTTATGAGTTCCCTTATCACAACATTGGCAATCCTGAGTATTAAAAATGTTTTTCCAACTTGATGGGATAAAAATATTCTTTATTTTTAAAATGTATAATGTCTTGACTTCTAGTGCAGTTAAGAAATGTTTTTGTGTGTGTGTGTTTTATCATCTGATTGCATTTCCTCTACTTGGGGAATTTGTGGATATTCCCCAGCTGACACTGACAGGGGTGGGAGTGGGAGCCAACACCTACACAGCGTCAGTGTCCTTGTTACCCTTATCTTGCTCTCCCCTCCTCTCAAATTCCTGCTTCTCTTCCTACAAGGAACCCACTAAAACCATTAATTAGTTTTTACCATTCTGGCAGGCCTCTAAGTTTTCATTTGGAATTATATTCACCTATTCATTTCCTTTACCCATTTGGTTATTTAATAGTTTGCCATTTCCTTATCTATTTGATGTAGCTCAGTGCAAACGAGGCCATTAACAATTTGCTTTATATAGTATTTTTTAAAAAACAGGTTATAAAAGTTACTACTTTACTTAATAATTAATCCAATTGGAACACATTTTATGAAATTTTAATCATAATAGTCATTTAAAACAAGCAATGCTATTTTAATTCCCCCCCCTTTTACAGCTTTTAGAAATTTGCTCTATTTAACAGCATGCATTTTCAATATGTTATAATAAATTAACGGCAGAAAAGCCACTAATGAATATTATTTTACTTTATTATATAACAGCAAAGGACCTATAAAGGGTTAAATAGCTTTATATTCAAGTTAAAAACTTTCCAAACTCAGAAATGGATTTTTTTTGGGGGG